CCCTCGCCTCCGTCACCGCCGCCCTCCATCTCGCGGCGGCGTCCCTCTGATGGCGCGGGCGCCTCGCTCGCCGGGGCGCGCCTCGCCGCTGCCCCCCTCTCGCCGCCGCTCCCTCGTGGCCGCCGCCTCCCCTGTCAATCCCGCCGTCCGCACCACCGCTGCCACCGCCTCGCGCCTCGCCGCCGCCGCCACCGCCCTCCCCCTCGCCGCTGAGCGGTGCTTGGGCCTTGGCGAGCCTCTCCGCACCGTCCCGGCCGCGGTGCGCACAGCCTGTGCACACTCTCGCCTTCTCTGTACTCTGACTGCGCCGCCGGCGCCGCCACGCATGCAGTTGGGTGCTTGGGTCAGCGGCGTGAGCCGAAGAGGTGGCCCACCGCTGACAGCGCTCAGCGCGCGCGGGGGGGGGGGGGGGGGCACCCCTGGTCCCCTCACGTGTGTCTGGACGCGCCCCGGCAGCAGCTCCTGCCTCCTCTCCGCTCTCGCGCCACCCCGCGCGCGGGGGCGTGACGTCTGTAGCGAGGCGACGGTGGGACGGTGTCCGACCCGTTCTGGGGTTTTCATATAATGCGGCTCTACTCGTATCGACCAATAAAATACCGGGGGAGGCCTGCGCAGCCTCTAACTATACAAATCTTCATTGCGGATTGGATCGTTCGCGTAGGCCACCGCGGCGCCCGTCCGTCGGGCTTTCCTCTGTCCGCGCGTGCCATGTCGAGAGCCTTATTGGACGAGGTTGCGCTTCGCCGCTCGCTCACGCCTGCCGAGAGCACGCACGCGCTGCAGTGGCTGCACGGAGCGTGCGACTCCTGCCGGCATGCGAGCCACTGCGCTGTCCGAGGCGAACACGGCAAGGAGGCCATGTTGCTCGTCTCGCGCTTCTTCCTCGCCCTGTCTGCGCCGGGGCGGTTCGGAAGCGTCAAGATGGTGTCGCATAGACTGCTCGACCTCATGTCGGTGTCTTGCTCGGGCGACAGCGAGGCCGAGTGGCGCTTCGCCGACGGCGCCGTTCTGACGCTCTCGGGGCCATTGGTTGGGAAGGCGGCGGCAACCTCTGTCGATGCGCACAGCCTCATCACCATGAGCCTCGATCGACGGCCGTCCATTGCGGTGCAGCTGCCCGAGCGGCTCGCAGTGCCCGCTCCAGGGCCGGCCGCCGACCTTGGCTTTTCCAACGCCTTCCGGGCCCACTGCTCGTACGAAGCGCTCTCTGGCGGAAGCGGCGCCCACCCGAACACCGAGGAGCTCGATGCATGGGCGGCACTCGTCGCGGCATCAATCGCGCAGGCGCAGCCAGGGATGCTCGACCTGGCCCAGCTGCCGCCTCCCGCTCCCTTCCTCTTTGTGGCGATGGCCAACGCGCTCGCCGAGACGTCCATGTTTTACGGCGTCAGCGCTATTGGCGTGCCACTCAACGACGCGGTCGCCTCGCTTGGCGCCGTGGTGCGGTCGAGTGCCAGTCTGGTGCACCTGACGCTCTGCGATTGCGCCCCCGATCCCAGAAGCCAACTGCGCATCGCGCTACAGTCCCTGCTTGAGGCGGCTGCCGACGGAGTTCGGGCGGGCCGCTTGCCACTCGCCGAGCTCGACATTTCTCACAATGGGGAGCTGCAAGACAAGGGCTCGATGGCGCTGGCAAGCCTGGTGCGCTCTCGGATTCCCCACGGCCTAATCGCCCTCAACCTCTCGGGCAGTGCGGCCGGCGTCAAGGGAGAGCGAAGACAGTGCCCCCAAGGAGGTCAAACTGAAGCACGTCGTCCGTGTATGATAGCTCCAATCCGACTTCCGGGAAGACTGTCATCTCTACGCCATCCACAAGCATCGTCGCCTCGCCCTTGAGCACGATGCCAATCTTCGCCTCATCCCCCCCTCCTCCCTCCACCTTGCACGCAGCCGCGGTCAGCGCCGTCATCAGGCAGCAGTCGTAGGGGTAGATCCAAGTGCAGTCTCCTCCTGGGCTCAAGTCCCGGTTGACCGCGGCGGCCCGGCCAGGCAGGGGCGTCGCCGTGAGGAAGACGCTGAAGTCGGTTCCCTCGCCCTGCGGGATCGTAGTTGTGCCTGCCGCTACCATCCGTGCGTACGTGTCAGTCCTATCGCATTTGACGTCTGCGAATGAGACGCGCAGCGGCGACAAAGTCGAGGACGAAATCACCGAGGTGTTGTACGCGAATGTCCAATCGAAGTAGGCGTCGAGCGCAATCTCCTTGACTGCCCACTCGCGCCCAAACGGGTTGGCGCCGGAGACGATGAATCCACGGCTGCACGCGCCCCCAGTTGGGCATTTCGCGCTCGTGTTGACAAAGGGGACGCTTGTGTTGGTGACCTCGACCGTCTCGTAGCCGGTTGCTATCGTCTCGCCCGAGACCAGCCCGCTCGACAAGATCTTGACGCGACTAGTCTCAAGCGTGATCAGGCCCAGCCCGGTTGCGACGACGGCTAGCTCCCTCTGAGACAGCCACCGGCCGAGTGCGTGCCCCCCAGCCTCGCTATTTTGTAGCATGATCTGCGCCTTGGCGGCGACAACGCCGCGTCGCACCCAAAGATCAACCACGCTGCACCAGCCGATGTGTTCGGACGCCTCCAAGTCGGCCGTGCTCCGGGATACGATGTTGGGAGTGTACCAAAGATCAGCACGCAGTGCGGTTACCTTCTCCTCCAGCATCGAGGTCGATGTGAATTCGAGGTCGACGTCCAACACGATCATGTCGGACGCTAGGTCGGACATGCCAGAGACGTTGGTGACTGCCGCCGTGGCGTTCACGAACATCTCAGCCGGGTTGGAGAGCAACGGCGGTGGAGATGTTGGAGGTAGTGGAGGTGACTTCGGCGGAGACGGCGGCGGAGACATCGGCGGAAACGAGGGCGGACCTGCAGATATCGCCGCCTCGGCTCGCCGATCGTTGAGCGCAAGCACCGCCACAGCTATCCCTCCCGCGATCAGGAAACCGATTACGAGTCCGAGGGCAAAAGCCTTCTTCGACCACGGCGGTCGTCGTTCGCCAGCGGCGCTTTTGGCGTCGCCCATCGAGGGCCTTGGGCTGCTCGACAGATCAAGGAGCCCCCACGGCAAGGCGCATATATATAGGAACCGAGCACTGTCACGCTAACCTGGGAATGTACACCAGAATGGCTGTGCATGCTCCTTCTTTAGCCATCTTACCTAAGGATGGCTGAGCTAGCTGCAGTGCAGCCACATCCTTCAGCCCGATGGCTGCAACACACACACAGCAGCCATCCTTAGTAGACATGGCTGGAGACGCACTCACTACCGCAGCCAAGGCCTCACTGACTGGTTCCTCAAGCTCGCCGAGAAGCTGCTGAACAAGCCACCGCCTTCACCCTCTCCTCCATCCGCTCCTGGACTCCCTCTTTGTAAGTACAACATCTTAGTACTCGGTCATTCCCATTGCGTTGATTTGAGCTGCACGAGAGCAATGCCGCAGGCGGTCGCCTCCCCCCCCCCCCCCCCCCCCGGGCGATAAATTCGCGGCGTTCGCGGCGAGCCGAGCCACGGCGCTCGGCCTGCTGAGAGAAGACTTTCCCCGACGGTAGTGAAAATTTACCCGACATCAATCGTCGACGGCAAGCTCGAGAACTGCGCCTCCAAACTCGCCCAGATTCGCCTCTCGCGGCGCGCTGAGTTAGTATCGCCGGTGCGCCAGCCAGCTCTGCTCCACAGCAGGGCATACCTGACTGGCTCCAGCTGGCCGTGCGTCCTGGTGGCATCCATTGCCAGCTCAGGTAGCCTCAGGAGGTCGCCTCGCGCACGACGCGGCGTCGCACAGCACCACTCCGCGTTACTACCGAGTTAGTATCGTCGACCCACAGAGACTGCTCTTCTGTAGGTGGAGCCGACAAACGCCGGCCGGCCCCGCCGCCCCCATCGCCGCTGCCGGGGCGGCGGCGGCCTCGGCGGACCATCCGGCGCGCTGCGCGCCCGACGGGGAGGCGTTCACCACTCCTGGATCCTCACCCTGCCACGCCTTCGTGCAGACGCCGTGGCACCCACCTCAGGCGCCGCTCGGACTCGGTCGACGGCCGCCCAAGTGCTTGGCTCGTGCCCAGCCGTCCAGCAGGCGATGCCCACTCACTGCTAGGCTAATCTCGGGCTGTCTTGCGGCGGTGTGGTGCCGTGAAGGGCACCCGGCACAAAACTACGATAGTTAGTACCGTGCAGGGGCAGTGCATGTAATTCTGTCAAAAATCGAAATGTGCTCTGTGGGACTTATTGGACTAGGGCCATACGTCCGGGAGGCCCCCCATGCGTGCCGTAACGAGCCACGGTGTTGGTATGACTCTGTTCACGTTCACACCTCTTCAAAGCGCAAAACTCCGATACTACTGGTAGAATAAAGCCTGGTCACCTACAGTGGGGACACAGTGCGCACAAGGGGCAATCCTAGCGCAGGCCCCGCACGCGGCCCTGCTGCCCTCCCGTCGGCTGAAATCGACCAGGCCCATCGCCGTGGGCCCACCGGCGACTGCGGCGGCCCTAGCACCGGCCGATTGTTTGAGCGATGGCCTGTGCTGCGGCCGTCTCGAGGTGGGAGGGGGCGGCGGCGGCGAAGAGGCGGGAGAGCTGGGTCCAATGCCTTCTGCTGCTGGGGGGGGTGGGGCCCCCCCCCCCCCCAGCAGCAGCGCTTTGCTGCTGGGGGGGTCAGACCCCCCCCCCCCCTAGCAGCAGGGATGACTTTAGATGTGCAGGGGGGGTAGCGAGCAATGTGCGGCCGCTCACCGGCCGGCATCCTGCCCGCCACGGCGGCGGCAAGCTGCGACTCGAGGCCGAGCAGGTGGCGACTTTTTGCTCGCTCGACTCTGTTGCGAAGTTGCGGTATTTCTCATGGTCGCTCTTCAGTGCCAAAAGTATACAAAAGCCCAATGTGATATATCAACCCGTTCTGGCACTATCCACTAACACAGGTACACCATAAAAAGAAATACTGCGCGCCTCTACTAGCAGGTGGATAGGGACACGTGTGCCACCTGGCACCTCTGGCTCTGCGTCATGTCACAATCGCCCGCCCGCCGCCAGCGTCGACGACGGCTCCTGTGTCGAGAGGCGCTCCGGTCGGCCCGCCGGCGTTCTTGCTGTTGACGGCGAACTCCAGGCCTACTCCGCTCCGTCCGCTGTCTCCGTGCTTGCCGTAGCGCGTCCTTCGATGCGCGGCAGGGCGGAACACGCGGTCCGCGCAGCGCAGCGCGGAGCGCGCGAGCACGAGCGCGCCCACGAGCGCCAGCGCAATCACCGCAGCGGCGGCACCGAGCGGCAGCCGCACGCTCCCGGCGTCGACGGTAGGCGGCGCCGAGGGCGGCGGCGGCGAAGACGGCGGCGATGACGGAAGCGCCGGGGCTGTCTGCTGCAGCACGGAAGGCGGCGGGGCCGTCGCTTGCGCCAACGGCTGGAGGTGGAAGGTGGCGATGAGTGGCCAGTGGTCCGAGTAGTCCATCGGCGGCGTGCTGTGGTCGATGGTGACCGCCGAGAGCTGGTCGAAGAGCGGCCCGGAGACGAGGAGGTGATCGAGTGACGAGTGCTCGGACCCGCCCTCGTCGACACCGTCCTTGGGCGCGTGGTCCCACCAGTCCGTGTACCGCTCCCCTCGCGGAAGCCGCGAGGCGACCGAGTGCAGCTCGTCGGCTCCGGTGGCGCGCGGGTCCTTGAGCATGCGCAGCACGCGCGAGGTGGGCCGCGAGCCGGGCGCGTCAAGGCAGCACGGGTCGGCGTCAAAGTCGTTGAGATCGCCGAGGACGACGACGTACGGCGTCTCACCGAGCGCGGCGACGAGGAGCCGCTGCGCGATCCTCGCCTGAGCCTCGCGCTTGTGGCACGACCGCGCCTGCGTCGGGATCGCCTTGAGATGCAGCCCGAGCACAGCCAGCGTCGCCGGCACGCGACGCCCGCCGCCGCTCGTGGGGAAGTCGATGCGCAGCCGCGCGAGGTAGTGCCTGTTCACGGTGGTGAGAGGTGTGAAGAGGCGCTGTTGACATAATACAGCGGCTGCCGCGCGAGGCAGTGTCTTGTCTTGTGTTCTGTGTGTCGCTCCTGTGTGGCCGTCACCGCCCGTCTTGCGTCCACCCATAACGCGTTGGTGTCCCAGTCGTTGGTCGGACTGTGTTTCGCCTTCCCATCTATCTATCTATAGTGCTTGGAGAGGTCGGTCGAGCCGCGCGCTGCGTCGCCGCAGCTCGAGTTGCCGTCGATGGGGAAGGCGCGCCGCTCGGTCGATCGCTCGAGGGGCGCCACGGGAGAGAGGCGCGAGAGCAGCCCCACCTGCTGCCGGAGGGAGCTTATCCCATATCTCTCCATATCTCCCCAATATCTCCCAATATCTCCCCTCCTGCTGCCGGAGGTAGCTGTCGGTGCCAGGGACCATGTGGCGCTCGTACCCGCCGCCGCCGCCGCCGCCGCCGCCGCCGCCGCCGCCGCCGCCGCCGCCGCCGCCGCCGCCGCCGCCGCCGCCGCCTTGCGAGGCGTTGGCGTTGAGGATGGCGGCGCACGCGGCGAGCACGTCGCAGCTCTCGACCTCGGTAACGTGTAGCACGTCTGCGTCGAAGCTTCGCATATGGCGCGCCACCCTCTCGAGGTGGGCCGCGGCGCCGGCAGCGTCGCACTTGTTCAGGCCGGACTGGAGGCCGGCGCAATCGCTCGAGCCCGCCGCCCACGGCGACATGCTCGGGTCGCACTCTCCGTCGTACAGCCATTCAGCGTTCCACGTGCCGATCACCAGCCTCTGCGGGTCAGCGCGCCGGTCGGTCGCCTCGCTCGCCGCGCTGCCGCCGCGGCAGTCGCAGCAGTCGGTCACAGACGCGGCGCAGCCACCTGGCCTACTCTGCCCTTCGGAGGGGGGGTCGCCCGACTCGCCGCTCGGCCACGAGCCCTTGGGGTGCACGACCCACTCCGAATCGGCGGCGGAGGAGCCGGCCGACCTCGCCCAGTCGCCGCAGTTGCCCTGCGCGACGCTGTCCTTTCGCTCGAGCGTGTGATCCTTGGTGGCGTGCGGGACGCCGGCGACCGGCCAGCCGCCGCTGCCAGGGTCGGGGCCGAAGTCGCCGACGGCGTCCACGATGATGTGCGAGGACTTGTGCATCAGGCCGTGCACGTCGTTGCCGTTCGAGAGGTGCCCCCACGTCTGGTTGGCTGGGTAGTTTGAGGGCAGCCGCGCCCGCGGATCGGCGATGCGCCACCGTGCGCCGCTCGGCAGCACCGCGGCCTCGTCCAGAAGCGTGACGGTGTGGTACGCCGGCTTCCCTTCGGTGTCGCAGCCGTTCCAGCACGACACGAGCTCGTAATCGTCGCCCAGGCGGACGTCGCCCTCACATTTGTTGACAATCTCGAGCGCTTTGTCGTACGATGCGCCCTCCACGTACGCGCTAAAGAACACGCAGCTGTGCTCACAGCTGCGACCCAGCGTTACTCCCTCAGGCATTTTGACTTAGCGACTGACACGGCGGATCGGACACCAGCGCTCCACAGAGCCGCCGTTGCGCACATTTGTTTTTTTTTGAGAGCGCCTTCGTTGTTAATAGTACAAACCCAATGGTCTCTTGCGAGCGGTCCGTCGTTGCAGTCGCACACACTCACACGCCACGCCGCACCGCGCGCCCACCCGCTGCCCCGCCCAGGCGGGAAAGAGATGAGGAGATGGGACAGCAAAGGAGGAGCACAAGCACGTATGGGAGGGTTTTTTTTAGAGGAACGTTTACGGGTACCGAACCTGTCGGACCTGTCGGACCTTAAGACAGCATTGTGGATCCCTGGAGGGTGATGGCGTCCCCGTCTGCTGCGCGTGCAGACAGCGCGTTGCGGGAGCATTAGAGAGGCCAGCCTTCGTCTTCTCAGCGTGTCGCGAGTGCTGTGTCTCTGCCTGCCTGGTAGCTGGGTGTGGTGGGGGACTCTCTGGTGGCTTTTGGTTACAAATTTACGGATTTACGGATTTACGGATCCACCCCCCTCCCTCCCCGTCCCGCGACCCGGCCGTGAGACGCCGATCCGGGAAGTATTCACCGCCGGCCCAGGGCCGTGCGTCCTCCCCTCAGGCAGACGCCCAAGGGTGGGCGACGGCTACGGGCTAGCGCAGCCTGCACCACACTCCTCTCCTTAAAATCCCTGTGGCGGCGTGCCGTCCCCCCATCCCTCCCTTGCATTCGCGTTTCTTTTTCTTTTTCCACACCCCTCCCTGGGGCGCCGTTTTCTTTCTTTTTTGTCGTGCGAGGGAGTTTTTTGAGAGAGATTTTTAGCACATTACCAAACAACTTTACACTCACACACATTTGTTTTGTTCAAAGTTTTGACGTAAAATTCTTTCTTTCTTGATTCTTCCAGCTCACCTCAACCCCCCCCCCCCAAGCTCGTGACGAAGCACGAAGGCTGTGTGTCCTGACCTCCTGTGTGGCTCGAGACACACGGTGAGCCCACACGACCCGGGCACACACGGGCAGTCACTAGTCTGTTGTGTTCCCTAGTATAGCGCAAAGTAGTTGTGTACCGTATGTGAGCGGCTGTGGATCTGGAAGACCACACAGCGACAAAACAATTTATATACACGGAGAGGGGCTGGGGGGGGGGAGGGCGCGAGTGCGTCCTCGTGCACTGCAAACCTCCGCCTCGCGTGAGACGGGGAGCAGTGCGGCGGGGCACAGCCGAGCGAGCGTTACTCTGCGCGGAGCCGGAAGACGAGGGGCCTCGACCCGCATCTAGGCCTCTCGCAGCGACTAGCGTATCTTGGCCCCTCGAGTTTATCGAGCTGGAGGGGCGATTGTACGACGCGGCTCGCAGAGAGAGTGTGTGTGCCGGCGTGCGTCCGCAGCAGCGCCGACGCCGCTGGTTATCTTTTTCTGGTGTGCCGGTGTGTGTGCTAGTCTGCGCCAGTCCGCGCCCTCGATGTGCCAGTGTGCTTTTAGGTTAGGTGCTAAAAAGAAGAAAGAAAACAAGCAGTTTGCTTGCTTGCCGACGGTGTTCCCCTGGCTGGTTGTACCCCTCGGCCGGTTTGACGATGGCACTCAAGGCCTTGTTGGTGGTCGCCGCTTCTGCTCCCAACATGGCACAGACCCTCTTCTTCTCCGAGTACGCCGAGGGCTCCTCGCACAACAAGTTCCTCGAAATCTTCAACCCGACCAACGTGCAGGTCTCCCTCGACGGCTACGCGTACCCGAGCGTCGCCAACGCACCCGCCACCGAAGGAGTGCACGAGTTTTGGAACGCGTTTGACAGCGGCGCGTCGGTGCCGGCGGGCGGCGTGTACGTCATCTGCCACGGCTCGGCGGACGACTCGATCAAGGCGCTTTGCGATGAGGAGCACACTTACCTCTCAAACGGTAACGATGGCTACTGCCTCGTGCAGGGCACCGAGTCGAATTACACGTTCATCGACTGCGTCGGCGATTTCTACGGCGACCCAGGCTCCGGTTGGGACGTCTGCGGTGTGAGCGCGGCGACGAAGGACAACACTCTCGTGCGCAAGTCCACTGTCACCACCGGTAACGGCGGCGACTGGACGGCGTCAGCGGGCACGAACGAGGCCGACTGCGAGTGGCTAGTCGAGCCAAAAGACACGTGGAACTTCCTCGGCTCGCACGCGATGGGAGTGGCATCGCCCTTGCCGCCATCGCTGCCTCCAGCACCGCCCTTGTCCCCTTCCGCGCCTCCAACACCGCCTACGCCCCGAGCTCCCAACGTGGTCGATGCACAGACCCTCTTCTTCTCCGAGTACGCCGAGGGCTCCTCGCACAACAAGTTCCTCGAAATCTTCAATCCGACCAATGTGCAGGTCTCCCTCGACGGCTACGCGTACCCGAGCGTCGCCAACGCACCCGCCACCGAAGGAGTGCACGAGTTTTGGAACGCGTTTGACAGCGGCGCGTCGGTGCCGGCGGGCGGCGTGTACGTCATCTGCCACGGCTCGGCGGACGACTCGATCAAGGCGCTTTGCGATGAGGAGCACACTTACCTCTCAAACGGTAACGATGGCTACTGCCTCGTGCAGGGCACCGAGTCGAATTACACGTTCATCGACTGCGTCGGCGATTTCTACGGCGACCCAGGCTCCGGTTGGGACGTCTGCGGTGTGAGCGCGGCGACGAAGGACAACACTCTCGTGCGCAAGTCCACTGTCACCACCGGTAACGGCGGCGACTGGACGGCGTCAGCAGGCACGAACGAGGCCGACTGCGAGTGGCTAGTCGAGCCAAAAGACACGTGGAACTTCCTCGGCTCGCACGCGATGGGAGTGGCATCGCCCTTGCCGCCATCGCTGCCTCCAGCACCGCCCTTGTCCCCTTCGTTCGGAATACCGTCGGAATTTGAGGACGACGGGACCGATGCACAGACCCTCTTCTTCTCCGAGTACGCCGAGGGCTCCTCGCACAACAAGTTCCTCGAAATCTTCAATCCGACCGATGTGCAGGTCTCCCTCGACGGCTACGCGTACCCGAGCGTCGCCAACGCACCCGCCACCGAAGGAGTGCACGAGTTTTGGAACGCGTTTGACAGCGGCGCGTCGGTGCCGGCGGGCGGCGTGTACGTCATCTGCCACGGCTCGGCGGACGACTCGATCAAGGCGCTTTGCGATGAGGAGCACACTTACCTCTCAAACGGTAACGATGGCTACTGCCTCGTGCAGGGCACCGAGTCGAATTACACGTTCATCGACTGCGTCGGCGATTTCTACGGCGACCCAGGCTCCGGTTGGGACGTCTGCGGTGTGAGCGCGGCGACGAAGGACAACACTCTCGTGCGCAAGTCCACTGTCACCACCGGTAACGGCGGCGACTGGACGGCGTCAGCAGGCACGAACGAGGTCGACTGCGAGTGGCTAGTCGAGCCAAAAGACACGTGGAACTTCCTCGGCTCGCACGCGATGGGAGTGGCATCGCCCTTGCCGCCATCGCTGCCTCCAGCACCGCCCTTGTCCCCTTCGTTCGGAATACCGTCGGAATTTGAGGACGACGGGACCGATGCACAGACCCTCTTCTTCTCCGAGTACGCCGAGGGCTCCTCGCACAACAAGTTCCTCGAAATCTTCAATCCGACCAATGTGCAGGTCTCCCTCGACGGCTACGCGTACCCGAGCGTCGCCAACGCACCCGCCACCGAAGGAGTGCACGAGTTTTGGAACGCGTTTGACAGCGGCGCGTCGGTGCCGGCGGGCGGCGTGTACGTCATCTGCCACGGCTCGGCGGACGACTCGATCAAGGCGCTTTGCGATGAGGAGCACACTTACCTCTCAAACGGTAACGATGGCTACTGCCTCGTGCAGGGCACCGAGTCGAATTACACGTTCATCGACTGCGTCGGCGATTTCTACGGCGACCCAGGCTCCGGTTGGGACGTCTGCGGTGTGAGCGCGGCGACGAAGGACAACACTCTCGTGCGCAAGTCCACTGTCACCACCGGTAACGGCGGCGACTGGACGGCGTCAGCGGGCACGAACGAGGCCGACTGCGAGTGGCTAGTCGAGCCAAAAAACACGTGGAACTTCCTCGGCTCGCACGCGATGGGAGTGGCATCGCCCTTGCCGCCCCTGCCGCCATCACTGCCTCCATCCATGCCTCCGCCATCCACGCCTCCGCCCGTGGCGATGCCGACCACACTGTTCGCAATCAACACCAACCACAGCGGCTCGGATGGGGCGTGCTATCACTCAGCACGCGAGGGCGAGTTTGTGCGCGTTGAGGGCTACGTAACGGGCGTGTCTTACGATGGCTTCTACATGCAGGACGAGGTGGCCGCTGCGCTCTACGCAGGCGTCTGGGTGTACACGGGTTCGGGCTCGTCCTACCTCACCAACCTCACCGCGGGCGACAAGGTCGGCGTGGAGGCGCTCGTGAACGAGTACTACTCGCTGACCGAGTTACTCGTTGCCGACACGCCCGCGGCACTCGTTGAGCTCCTCTCGACGGGCCACACGCCCTTGCCGCTCGCGACGACGACCGGCGCGATCGGCGAGGGGTGCACCGAGAGCGGCGAGGCTCACGAGGGCCTCCTCGTCACCGTCTCGGGCGGCGTGCAGCTCCTCTCCGAGGCCAACAACTATGGCGAGATCACAATCGACGACGGCTCAGGGCCCACGCAGCTCGAAGACAGCATGCTGAGGACGGAAGCGCACCTGCAATCAATCCTCGGCGCCACGTCGCTCACCGGACAGAGCGTCTCCAGCGTGACGGGCGTGATCAAGTACGCGTTCTCGAGCTTCGAGATCCACCCGCGCGACGAGAGCGACATCGTCCTCGTGTCGCCACCACCACCGCTGCCACCGCCGCCGCCGACGCCGCCACTTGCGCCGCTGCCGCCCGGCGGCGAGTACACGCCCGCAGTCGTCTTCACGACCACGCTCGACGGCGACATGACCACCTTTGACAGCGCGGCGTACGCGGCCAATCTCGCCGAGCTCGTCGGCGTGTCTCCCGACTCAATCACCCTTGAGATCTCGAGCGTCCGCCGTGCACGCGCGCTCGCGGCGTTCACCGTGACGGCAACGGTGATCACGGCTAGCACTGCGATCGCCGACACGATTCAGATCACACTCGCGGCACTCAGCCCGGAAGAGGCGTCCACGGCCCTCGGCGTCACCGTGACGGCGGTGGAGGAGCCGGTCGTCTCGAGCGTCGTCGTCATCGCGTCGCCGCCGCCGCCGACCGAGCCTGAAAGGACACAGGAGGACGCAGGAAAAGAGCTGACAGACGACGACGACAACAACGTTGACGAGGGCGGGCTTAACGGCGGGACCATCGCGGCCATCGTCGTCGCGTGCGTGCTTGCGCTGGTCATCGGCATTGCCATTGGCGCCATGATCTTCAAGCGGCGCAAGGGCAAGAAGGCCTCGCTGGGCACGGCGGTGCCTGTCGAGATGGTCGTGCACGAGTAGTTGACGGGGTCAAAGAAGAAGAACGTCTCGCGTGAGACACCTTTGTTGAGATCGACGACGACGTCTCACATCCCCCTGGAGCCCTCTCCATTATTGTAATATTAGTCACCGAGTTGTAGCGAGCGCACAAGCTGGCGACAGCACGGCGTGGGGATGTACAAGCGGTTCGAGAGAACTAGCACGCAAAGGGTGGGTCGAGAAGAAGGCCACCTTCTCTGGCCACCTTCTCCGGGGGCGCTGTCTGTCGTCCTCTGTGTGTCTGTGCCTTAGGAGTTGTGATGCGTACGAGTGATGTGTCGTGAGAGCGAGCGCGGTGGTGTCCGTCTCGGTGAGGTTTAGTCGCGGCTCGAGCTCAGGTGCGTCAGTCGTCAGAGGGCCCAGCCAGTGAGGTCAATATCTCGGCGCTGATCTCGCCCGCGAAAAAAGAAAGAAAGAGGGCAGACAAACCCAGACGAGGGATGGGGGACCAGGATATGCAGCAAAGGAGGGCGGAGCTGCGCCGAAAGGCGAAAGAAGCCGCGAGAACAAGGGAACGGCAGGCGGCGGCGGCGGCGCAGAACGAGGCAGAGGAGAGCGACGCGACAGAAGAATGACGATCGGCCGTCGATCCCGAAGGGTCGTCGGTTGAGCTAGGGAGCCTGGCGATGGACGCCACCGCGACCCCTCGTGGCATCTCTCTCGCCGCCGGCGAGCTGGGGGCTCGCGGACGGCAAAACAATTAGATAACAGTGTACCCGTCAATCACCTAGTGGGCCATAGTGGGCCACTGCCACCATTCTTTTTCTGCTCATAACAAATTGCCCTGCCCAACATATTTTAGTTACTGGGTCCTAATGGCTATGTGGGAGAAGTTTGGTCTTTGTTTCATGGGGGGATCTGGATATATTCACGGCTAAAGTTGGTGCCGGCACGGCTCCCCTAGCCGGTCTCTCGGGGCAGGCCGGGAAGAGCCTCCAGGCCTTCTGTGGAGCTTAGGTAGGGTCCCCAGCCAGCCTCAGCTGCAAGGCAGTCTCCAGGGGCCATGTAGCATGCCTGACATGACAGTGCAACCCACCCGGACACGGGTAGCGCACCAGAGAGGGCCTGTCCTCGTCGTCGAAGCCGGCGGCGGCGCGTGGCGCGAAGCGGAAGTCATCGGCACCGCCGAATCCGGAGCCTAAGAAGGGGAGGAAGAAGTGAGCGAGGAGTGCAGTCTGTGTTTTGCAAGAATGGTGACACGCGTAGACACAAGTACTAGTACGACCTGAGTACGCTCCAGGCTCCAGCCACACAGCCAGGCCAGTGCTTTGCAATGCCGCACACGCCAAAAGTGAAAACGAGCAGTGCTACGTGCGGAGTGTGGGATTACTCACGACTGGGCGTGTCGCGACCGCCGCCGCGAGGCTCGTGGCGATGGAGGCGCCGGCGCCAGCATGCGCCGCCTCCCTCAACGCCCGAAACTCGGTCACAGCCGGGGGAGCGACAGCGGCAGAGATGCGGGCCGCTGGCGACCTCACACGGCGCCAAGCGCCGTAGAGGTAGCCCCGAGAGACGCAGCTGGGTGTGTCGCGACCGCCGCCGCGAGGCTCGTGGCGATGGAGGCGCCGGCGCCAGCATGCGTCGCCTCCCTCAACGCCCGAAACTCGGTCACAGCCAGCGGAGCGACGGCGGCAGAGATGCGGGCCGCCGGCGACCTCACACGGCGCCAAGCGCCGTAGAGGTAGCCCCGAGAGACGCAGCTGGGTGTGTCGCGACCGCCGCCGCGAGGCTCGTGGCGATGGAGGCGCCGGCGCCAGCATGCGTCGCCTCCCTCAACGCCCGAAACTCGGTCACAGCCGGCGGAGCGACAGCGGCAGAGATGCAGCCGCCGGCGACCTCACACGGCGTCGCACGCCGTAGAAATGACCCCGAGAGACGCCGCAAGGTGCGTCGCGACCGCCGCCGCGAGGCTCGTGGCGATGGAGGCGCCAGCGGCAGCATGCGCCGCCTCCCTCAACGCGCGACACTCGGTCGAGGCTGGCTCGAACTGCTCGAGGCCAGCTGCCTGACTTGTATTGACAGCGAGTGTGTCGCCACTCGCTCCTGACCACACGTTGAGGGGGGCGTGGACATGTTAGCCCTCGGCAGCTGCGATGCGCACACACCTGTCGCACGGATCCAGCGGTGGTGGCGATATGCTGCTCGGCGAGCCAAAGAGAGCGTGCCACCGAGAGCGTGCCACCGAGAGCGTGCCACCTAGAGCGGAGTGCGCCGCCCTCCGCAGCGGGAGTCGGTTGCGGGTGGTGCAGCGGCGCCGTGATAGAACAACAGGCGCCGGCTCGGCACGCTGAGTGCACACGCGACGCGTCGCGCGTGCACGCACTGCTCGTGCAGCGCCAAACAGCGTCCGCCAGCGCAGAGAAAGGAGCCCGTGCCGACTCGTGCACGCCTGCGACAGCTCGAGCGGCTCAGCGCGAGTGCTGGCTCACATCCGGTCGGCTCACAGTGCTTGGGCAGCCAGGCTCACCGTCGGCGAGAGCAGCTGCGAGCGACACCACGTCGAGCCAAGGCGACGCTTTCTTCCGTGGCCGCCGCGGCTCGTTTCCGCCACGCGGTGGGGTGCGGCGGAGGCCGAGGCGTGCGCCAGCCGCGCTCGAGACCAGCAGGCGGCCTGGGAGGGCGCTCACACGCCGCGACGACCTCGGCGAAGCGAGGCGTCGCGCCAGGTCATTCACGGGTACAGCCGTGATAATTAGTTCAACTGTGAACGGGGACATGTGCGGGACGTGTCAGGGCCGGCTTGCCTTCTGCCCTGGTTGTCGGCCATTGTGAGAGACGCCCGCGTCCCACGGCTCTTGTTTCTGCTTTGGAATCTATGTGTGGACATGACCTCGAGTGGAGCCCCAGTCCTCGACAGGCTCAGAAGCGACAAGGGAGAGCACGACGAGAAGGGGGCGACCGCGAGGTGGCTCGAAGGTTGCAGCGAGAATCGGAGAGAGAATGCGAAGAGAGATCGGAAGAGGCGGACGCCCAAGGGTGGGCGACGGCTAGCGCACCACACCCCTCTCCTTAAAATCCCTGTGTGGTGGCGGCGTGCCGTCCTCCCATCCCTCCCTTGGGTTGTGCGTTTTCTTTAGAGGGATGGGGGAGGAGGACAGGGTCCCCACCTGCACGAGCAGGATTTTGGAAGGACGATCAGGGGGACAGGTGGGGCTCTCCTGCGACTCACTCCTCCTCATCGTTTTTGGCCTCCTTCCGTTCGGCCCGCGCAAGATCCGTTTTCTTAATTTGCACACTCGACCACCACAGGACGCGATGTTGACTGCACCGCTGTTTGCAGCAGCAGCGCTCGTGGCGCCGGCGTATCCATCCTCTGGGCAGCCCGCCATCTCGCTCTTTGTCCTCTCCTCAGAGAGCCGGACGCCGGCGTACCTGCTCTGCCTCGACAGCTTGGCAGGACTGATCGCCCGCGCCTCGCCTCGCCTCTACCGTGTTGCTGACAGCAACTGGGCGACGGGAACATCAGACTCGTACGCGCTATGGCTGCGCGAGCTGCGACGTGACGTGCCGGTGAACGAGAGCATGATGATGGCCAGCGTGCAAGCCGTCGTCACCCGCTTCGCGAGCGAGGTTAAGGGTTTCATCCTCGCCGAGGGCTCGACAACGTGCGTGGCGCTATCGTCTGCAGAGCAGCTCGGCTCGCTCGCGCCGGAGCGGGCCTGCGCTCCGGCTGGCCGTAGGCGGCCGCCTTTTAAGGTGAGGCCCCTTCTCCACAGACACCACATGGTGGGGGAGCACGCAGCGCGGCCGAACCCCTCTCGGGTGGACTTTCAGCCCAGCCACCGCCTTCCTCTCCCCCGCCACCCTCTCCTGGGTCAATCGCACGCGCACCCCGATGGACGAGCTCATCGCCGGGCCCTCTGGCGTTGGGTATATCTTCCCTCAGGCATGGCCTGCCCCCTCTCGCGCTCCATTTGCCTCCCTCACAGCTGAGGGGACAACGTCTCTGCTGCCTTGTACTACCCGTGGGGTGGGGGTTACAGCCAGCTGGAGGGCCGCATGTGGCGCGGGCACGGCAGTGGTGAGGAGGGCAAGGGGCGCGGCAAGGGAGCTGGCAGTGGCAGTGGCGGAGAGAAAGGGGGTGGAGGGCGAGGTGGAGAGGGAGGTGGAGACGGCAAGGTGCTGATCATTGGCCGCGTGAGCTTGTGGGGCGATGGGGACAAAGGGACGACGCTCGGCGTCAAGCCAATGATCTCACGGCTCCTCTCCATGCCGCGTGTGAGCTCCTCCCCGGATGGCTACTCGATCATTCCGGTTCACGTATGGAGCCACTCGTACGCAGATGTGCTGAGCATCGCGACTGCGCTCGAGGCGAGCAGCGGCGTAGACGTCGTGCTGCCGTCCGAGCTCATCAGTCGGCTCGAGGAGAACGTCTGGAAGGCCACCCCCGGTACACCTGTGACACCCCGGCCGCGGGTAAAGGTAGCTGGTCGCAACGAGTACACGTGCTCCGACGGCGATCGAGGCTTCTGCGCCAGGACGCAGCAGTGCTTTACGTCGCTGGCGTTCCTCAAGGGAGACTGGCGCAGTGGTTGTGCCTGATGTAAGAGAGGTTAGTGGGGAGAGTGGGCCCCGAATTTAAAAGCGCGAAGACGCCGTGTATTCTTTTTTTGAGCTTAGCCTTCGATGTTATGAAACAAACGCAAGGCGGACATGGCATATCGCTCTCGGGCCCACAGACATCCGTCATCCCCCGCACACCCGCCGCACACCCGCCGCCCCCGCACGCGCCCCACCCCGGCCGGGAGAAAGGGGAGTGACAGTTTGGGATTGAAAGTCGAGATACCTCGCACTCCATGTGCGAGAACGCACCACCCATCCACCCTTTTGTCTTTGAGGCTGTCGCTCCGAGAAAACTTGTCTCGCAGCTGCGAGAAATTACCACGTGGGTGAGCAGCCTGCCCCTCTCTCCCGACAAACCAACTCCCGCACACACACACAATATCGCACTCTACTCTCTAGCCGTCCCCTAAATGGCTAAAATACATATTTATAGACAATCTAAGACAATCAAGAACACATTTGACATATAAAGCCGGAGGTGTGGCTTGAGCCTGTTGTTCATCTTCATGACCGGCACGGTGCCGGTTCATGTTAGATGTTTCATGACGATATGTGTGTTTCACTTGCTCACCCCCATCGACGCCTCTCCGAGGCGACGCGCTCGAACAGTCTGACCCCATCCTCTAGAGCGAGAGTGCGAGCCTCACTCAACGCGGCGCGGGGGTCGGCGGCACCAACCGACGCAGCCGCTCGTCTGCCGACGCGCCGCCCGCGGCGGCCTGTCGCCCGACACGGGCCAAGAGCGGGGCCGAATCGCGCAGCACTTGCGCTGCCAGCTTTAGGTCCGCGGCGTCGTCGAGCGAGAGCCGTAGCGACGCTCGCAGCTGCTGCGAGCCGACGCGGAGCCTCGCCGCGACCTCGGCGCCGCCGACGATCGCCTCCAAGTCGGTCGGCGGCGAGGCACCGGCCGCGCCGGCTCGGCGGCGGGGGGGCGGGGTG